AAACATTCCATTTACTTATTCATGCATATGCCATCACAAAGAACACCCAGAGGACTGGTGCCAAGGAGGTTGGGGGTGGGCTTAGCCAGCCGCTCAATAATTTCTATCATCTCCCTTCAGACAACCCCTAATAAATATACACTAAGTAAAAACAGCTTCAAGACACATCCATCCCTAAACCATATGTCATCCCTTAAACCCCTCTTCCAAGCCTATTACCACCTCAAAGTCTCTCCATCATCCAATTCCATAATTACCCTTGGGGGCAACTGGAAGCACTATAAAAAGGTATATTAAACTGATATATAGGAAAGGAGCCTAGAATAATTACATCTTTTAAACACCGGTATACATATACTGATTGAGTCACAATTGCACTTAGATGTTATTGAATGCAGTATCACTCAACAATTGAAATTCTCATATGGGGAAATGAATGGAGAGCTGATTTTTCTGAAACAGTGCATGTAAAGTACGCAAGCAGGCATTGCTTTCCTTCATCACAGACACCTCCAGAATCATCTCCTAACACAATTCTGAGCAAGACTTTTTTATAATTTTGATTATGGGCTTTGGGCACCAGCCTGCCATGGAAATCAAATTGGCTGCCTTTAAACACCAAGCTCCCAAAACAAGTAAACAGCCCTTGCTGACTTGTTCACATAATTCCCACCCTGAAAGGGTCCTTGATGCCCAAGCTAGTCACTGCCAGTTTGCCAAGAACTGTCCCAGTTTTAGCACTGAAAAGTTCTTTGTCTCAAGCAAACCAAGTCTGTTGGTCACCCTAGCTAAAGCAGAAGCAGCGAAGTAAAAGCCAGTAAGTATTGATTCTAAATTCCTCCCTATAAACACAAATACAGATACAAATAGTGACTGAGTAGCCCTGGCCCATCAGGTGCCTTACAGAGAAAGACCTAATTATTTTGTAATTAACATACTTCTGAAATGTGGGGGAGTATACAACTCCAACTTTAAAAAGAGGAACCAAGCATTTCTTGAACCAAGTCTTTTATAAGCTAAAATAAAATTTTTAAATGAGAAATTTCAGGAATTCAAGTCACTTAACTATGCTGCCCACCTCTTTCTTCCTGTTTGATCTTTGAAGATTAGCATTCAGTATTTTTCGTGACATTTATATTGAGGAAGGAATATAAGATTATTAAAAGCAGAGAAACCCAATATTGGGAACTCACATCAAAAGGTCTTCAAGACAAAGAAGAGATCATAGGATTTGAAACCAGAGTTACTAGAAGCATGTGTGCTGCACTTCGTTTTCTAGTTAACAGCATAACCTACGTCAAAATATGATTTAAAACACTTCTCACAGCTGAGTTGACATTTGGCAATCCCGAGCCTTCTTTTGCTCTGGAGGATGGGGGTTCAAATCCACAGGACGTTAGCACTTTGCACTGCTACATATTTCTGGTGGAGGAGGAAAATAGTCTTTTAGTTTAAGTAAAACGAAACCATCTGTTTGAGTCCTGAGGAAAAGAATTATTTTTACAAAGCAGGGAGAGGATGCCTGCTTGTTAAAGCTAGAGTCAGCCTCAGTAATGTTGCAAAAGGAAAATAGTTACACTGTCAGTTGCCTTGCCTTGCTCAACTGAGATGAAGAAAATGTGCACTTGAGCCTTACTTTGGTCTTCATTTTTCAGTATTCCATACCCACACTTACCTCTTTACCTTGTCTAAAGTCTTCTGCTAATATCTATAAACTAGTTTCAAGTTCTTTTCACAATAAATCAGGGTAAACCCAGCTTGGTCAGTGAATGACCTTTTGCCACATAACTTGTCTTGATCAGCAGCTATGCCTTCTAAACAAGAAGTTGTATTAGTTACCTATTGCTGCATAACAAAATACCCCAAACTTGGTATCTTAAAACAACATCCATTTATTAGCCTATAGTTCTGTCAGTCTGGTCTGAGCACGGCTTGACTACATTCTCTGTGCAGGGCCTTACAAGGTATTGGCTAGGTTCTGCTGTGATCTGGAATTCAGGTCCTTTTCCCAGCTCGTGTGATTGTGGCAAAATTCAGTTCCTTGGAATTCTAGGACTAAGGCCCCAATTCTCTTGCTGGCTGTCAGCTAGTGGTCACTGTCAGCTCTTGGAGGCTACCAACATTCCTTGCCATGTGTCCCCTTCCATTTCCAAAGCTGCCAACAGAGAATCTCCCTTACACAGAAACCCTCTCATGCTTTGAGTCACTAACTTCAGGAAGGGCCTAGTCCCATTTAAGGGCTCACTTGATTAGGTCAGGCTTACCCAGAATAATCTCCCTTTCTTCAAGTCCAGTGTGTCATATAACTTAATCACAGCAGTAAAATCCATCATCTTCACAGTCTGAGGATTGAATATGGAGTAGGGAACCTGGAAGTCATTTTAGAATCTTGCCTACCATAAAAATCCAATGCAAGACTTCTCTTTTCAAACATATAGATCTTTTTTAGGGGGAAAAACTGGGAGAGAAGGTCCGAGAAAGCATGTAGTGTACTTAATTAAATTTTCTTTCCCTTAAAGGTACAAAAATATTAAAAATTAACATTTAAAAATTTTTTTATAAATAATAATAGTTGGTATTTTCTGAGCTACATACAGAGTACTACAAGTATATTCATAAGTTGCAGAGGTCAAACTCAGTTCTCAAGGGATTTACACTCTAAAAGAGAAGATAGGACACACAGTTAACAGATATATATATAGGCACTATTTTTTTTTAAGTTTTCAGACTTTATTTCATAGCCATCGACACAGAAATGTACTGGAGTTAGCAACACGGTGCCCAGCTTCCCTGCTGCCTGCTTTATCTGCTCCGTCTCCTAAGAGGACTGAGCTGGGGCTGGGGCTGGGGCTGGGGATGGGATGGGGCATTGCAGGTGAAGGCATTTCTGGCTTTGGAGCTATCCCTGCTGCCCCTGCACCTGCCCCTTGACCTTGGTCAGACACTAGTTGGCCCCTAGTCATTCTGAGACGAGGACAACCATCACTGACACTGGAGGGAGGGTTTGCAGTGAGGCAGCCCTCAGTCGCTCTCAGTCGAGATGGGAAGGATGAGACCCACCACTCCAGGGGCTAAATCAACACATGAAGAACACGGCTGGTGGCCAAGCCCAGATACCCAAGCAGGCAGCAGAGGTCAGCCCCATCCCACAGTGGGCTCCTCTTGAGGAGTCCTCACAGGGCCTGGGGTGTGGCAAAGGGACACAGCCACATCCAGGGCGCCTGGGCAGGGCCAGCTGAGAGTCAAGGCACCCAGACTGGTCCTGGTCTGGCCTCTGTTCCCCAGTAGCCTGGGGCTGGCGCAGGCAGCATAGGAGGGACATAGAGCTGCCCAGCAGTAACATTGTTTCTAAGTCACAGTACTGGCACAGGGGGCCCAGGCAGGGCCAGGCCCTGAGTTTCAGCCAGCCTGGGAGAAGGCCAGCCATGGATGGGCACTATTTTATACAGCAGTGGTCTGGCTTTCTTGGGTTTACATTTTCACAGCAGGTAGAAATGCAGCCAGAATGGTTAAAAAAAAAAAACAGCTGGACAAAAATAATCCACAACTATTGAGAGTAGCAATAATTTACTGAAGAAGGCCAGAGAGCTCACTTGTTAGAACGTGAGATATTTGTGAGGCAGGGTAGTTCAATGGCTAAAAGTATGCACTCAGGTTTGCATCCTGGCTCTGTTGCATTCCAGCTGTGTAACCTTGGGCAAATCATCTAGTGTCTCTGTGCTTCAGTTTTCCTCATCCGTAAATTAGAATCCTAAGAGAACCTACCTTACAGAGTTATTTGTGAGGATAAAATTAATTCCCACAGAGCACTTGGAACAGCATACTCAGCACATGGGAAGTGTAGGTGTTGGCTATTACTTACTCTATGCCAGGTGGGACTGAGTCATTGGCAGGCATTATAGTTTTTAATCTTCATAATGATCCTGCAAAGCATTACTATTGGCCACAAACTACAGATGAGAACATTGTAGGTATAGGGAAGCTAAGTAATTTCTTCATGACTGTCTTCATAGGTTAATAAGACACAGGTTTGCCAGAACAGAACCCAGGTCTGCCTTGAAAGCACATTTTATTTACCAACAGACTAATAAATTAAAGCAGTGGAAAGACTGCAGATGGGGATTTATTTTCCCAATTGTGTTGGTTTATCTAACCCACAACCAAACACAATGAAGCTGATGAACAAGGCAGAGAAAGACAGGGCTCAGGAGTGAGAAGGCACAAGAAGATCATGACAGCAATGATATCATGTATATGAAAAGTTTACTAAAACTAACATTTGTTGTAATAAATGGAAGGTGATTCCATGCAGAGAAAATATTTTCAGATGGGCCTCTCCTTATGAATTTTCAATTTCGAGTGACTCAGATGGCTGAACAGCTGATGCTATTAGTCTTCAGCTCCTACTGCTATAGTATTAATTGTAGGAGGCAAACCTAGCCAGTTGCTACACAGATGCTAGATGCTAGGTACACACACACACACACACACACACACACACACACACACACACACACACACGCAGGCACAGGATAAACTGTGCTATGATTGTGCCAAGGCACTCCAGCCTGAGTGACAGAGGAAAACTCTCTTAAAAAAGGGGGAAGGAGGCTGGGCGTGGTGGCTCATGCCTGTAATCCCAGCACTTTGGGAGGCCGAGGTGGGCGGATTACGAGGTCGAGAGATCGAGACCATCCTGGCCAACGTGGTGAAACCCCATCTCTACTAAAAAATACAAAAAAAAAATAAGCTGGGTGTGGTGGCATGTGCCTGTGGTCCCAGCTACTCAGGAGGCTGAGGTGGAAGAATCGCTTGAATCCAGGAGGCAGAGGTTGCAGTGAGCCGAGATTGTGTCACTGCACTCC